TGCAGCCATATTCATTCATTTCCACCCATCAGTAACGAGCACTCATTAGAGCTCACGTGTCAAACACAAGGCCCGCGGGCCAGATCAGGCCCGTCACACAATCCTATCCGGCCTGCAAAAGTATTTTAATTTCCTATTAATATTAGCCCGTTTTACGATGTGCTGCACTACAGTCCCCAGCATGCATTGCAACGCAATGTGCAACATTAATGTGCTCCGACTCTCCTACCGCAACAACAGTCTATGGGACAGCGGTTACACCTCAGTTCTACACAATTCTGAGCAGTTCCACACCAGTCATATCACCAAAATGCATTTCAGCTGCGGTTTAACCAATATAAACACTTAAAGTCAGCCCAGCGGCTCAGAAAATGAGCCCAAGTTTTAAGGAACTTGCAGCGAACACAGGATGCCAGATGTCTACTTTAAGCAAATAGGTAGGTTTAAAAGGCTGAGCACCTGGGGACGTTTATATTTTAAGTGTCCATGTAATATTTTAAGGTCTACTACAAATGTCTGTATTTTACTGTTAAACAATGGCCAGTTGGGGTTATAGCACAACGTTAATTAAAGATGAGATAAAAACTTCTCTGGCTCACAGATTTCTTAATATGGCCCTTTTACTGGTTGAGTTTGACACCCCTCATTAGAGTGAATGTGTGGCGCTGGCTTAGAGAGAACCATTTTAATTTTGGTTAAGACGGAGATGACTCAAACTGTAGCCTGTGTGGGTGGCAGAGGGTTGTAGAGCAGTAGATGTTAATCAGTTTAGTAAGTAAGTTCAATAAGTTAAACTGTTTGGTTAATTATGTGTGTTCAGGGGTGGGGGGGTGGTGTTTGGGGGCAGTGGTGTTTATGAAATCTGTGAAGCAGGTCTGCTGGCAGAAAGTGTGTGGTGTGATGTGGCAGGAAGTAACTGGAATTGACTGATTCTGTTACTCTCACACACACATGCCGAAAGAAAGATCTATACAGTATATACACTCTTAAATATAAAAGTGCCAACTGGTACGTAAACGGTCATTTGGGGCGATGCCAAAGAAAGAACCGCTTCTGAACTTTGGTTGGTGCCACAAAAAATGCTAGAAAAACCCAGCTTAGACCGGCATGGCTGGTCACTAGCAAACCAGCATTTGTTGAGTTTTGGATGCTGGTATGCTGGTCAGCAGCAATGGAAGTTGATATGCTGATCACCACCAAAATCAGCATATGTTGTGTTTCGATGCTGGTATGCTGGTCAACCAGCATGAACATACTGGGGTGACCAGTTAAACTAGAAGCAGGCCAGCATAAACAAGCATAAACCAGCAAAGACCAGCATAGACCATCTTAGACCAGCATGAAATAGTTGCTGGTCTGTGCTGTTTTCTTTCAGCAGGGAAGAACCACTTTTGGTTCCACAGAGCACTCTTTAAACGTTCTTTAAACTCTTTAAAGAACTCTTAACAGGCCTTCACAGCACATTTTCAAAAATTATTCTTTGTGTAGCCCCTTCTTATGGATTCTTAACTGGTTCCTCTGAGAAGCAAAACCTTGGAGTTCTTCAGTTTCAGTTAGCGACTGCGTTGAGCTGCTAGCGAGCAATGAGGGGAATGAGGAAAAGGAACGGGATTCCTCGACATTAACAGTAGTGTACTGCTACAATGAAAAATAGCATTTAAACACAATAGAAACACTAATGTTGGCTTGCTGGCTGGCCTGTGAAGACGAAAGCTCAGTTTGCCTCCAGTTTTGTAAATCACACACATTTCCCTCAAACCATAATTTGAAAATGCCTGTTGTCCTTTACATTGTGTGTAAATTTCATGATGAATGGACCAAAAGAAATGACCCAAAATTACTTGGAAAAAAATTCTGGTTCCATTGACTTACATTAAAAGTAAACTATGTTTTTTCCTCCTCTTGTTAAAGCTGTTTTGGAGATATGAGGTTTTGATCCGGCAGGAGAGACATGCAAACCTGAGAGACAAACACACACACACACACACACACACACACACACACACACACACACAGTCTTCTGTGCTTTTCCACTGCATTCCACCGTGTCGATTAGAAACACACTTCCTCTCACAAACAGAATTTAAAGCCAATTAAGCCCCATGGGGTAGAGGGGCACAGCAGAGGGGAGAGGACCAGCAGCAGCTATTAAACACTGTCACCTGAGACACACACTCATACACACACACAACTAGTACAAGAGAACGTGTAAAGTGTGAACTCACAAGTGCTTTTGTGGTACTAACTGTGACACCCGAAGCCCCAGCTTGTATACAAGGTCTGGTTTGAGTGTAAAATGCATTGATCTGAAGGTGAAGAATCGACTGCATTGATTCTGTTCAGTTGTTTGGACCAAACAAAAAATGTAAACAAGAATCAGAATCTAATCGAAACAGAACTGAATCAAATCTATTTGAATACTCTATCTCTCTCTCTCTCTCTCTCTCTCTCTCTCTCTCTCTCTCTCTCTCTCTGTGATAAGACTCTCGTCCTGGTCTCAGGGCCATTAGCCACTGGTCAGGGATAATTGTGGCAGAGAGCCGCTGAGCTTTTTGATGTGGACGCCGACTTCCTTTTGATGTAAAAATGTATCCACTGCGATTATCAAGATTATGCCTTCCTCCCCTCCTCCCTCCTTCCCCCCTTCCCCTTCCTTCACCCCTCTTTTTCCATCCCGCTCATTTAGCTGGGAGATTAATTGGATGCAGCTTTGCTCTGATGGCTGAAGTTGATGTGGCTGTCGCCACCACCAAAGCTGAGCTCAGCTCACATGTAGCTACTGTGCCCCCCTCTCTCTGTATCACTCTCTCTATCACACTCTTTGACTCATTCTATCTCTCACTCTCTATCGCTCTCTCTATCACACTCTTTCACTCATTCTGTCTCCGACTCTGTATCACTCTCTCTATCACACTGTCACTTATCCTGTCTTTCACTCTCTCTATCACTATATCACATTCTGTCAGTCATTCTGTCTCTCACTCTGCATCACTCTCTCTCACACTCTATCACTCATTCTATCCCTCACTATCTCTATCACGCTCTCTATCACATTCTGTCACTCATTCTATCTCTTACTCTGTACCACTCTCTCTACCACACTCTGTCACTCATTCTCTATCACTCTTTGTCTTCATCTCACTTTCTCTCTCTGTATCACTCTTTCTATCACATTATATCACTCATTCTGTCTCACACTCTCTGTCTTCCTCTGTCTTTCTCTCTCTGTATCACTCTCTGCTTCATTCTTGTTCTCAAAGGGAACACTGTGACATCTGTATAATCAGCAGCTACCCTCTAATTAGGAGTTTATTAGGAACAAAATGTTAAGATCAGAATGTAGCGCCAGAAGTTTACTGACCTCCAAAGCCATTGATCCAGGCCCACAACGAGGTTTAGGCTTTGGATATTTGAAACAAAGCCGAGAGTAATTTGTTGGGTGAACAGCAGATTCTTTACAACTTGTTTTAGTTTCAATTTTTATTCATTTTTAAACTTTCTTTTGTTTTTTTTGAGGTAGTGATCTTACAGATCGGGACTAAGACCAGCTACATCATATCTCCAGGCTATTTGTATAAACAGGGGTGGATCTATGGGGTGGCAAGAGGTTTCAGCTGCCATCACAGTTCCACAACCTCTAAAATATGATGCAATATTGTATTATGTATAATGTGTCTATACTCAAGAAACTCTATCACACTCTTTCACTCATTCTATCTCTCACTATCTCTATCACACTCTTTCACTCATTCTGTCTCTCACTATCTCTATCACTCTCTCTATCACATTCTGTCACTCATTCTGTCTCTCACTCTCTGTATCACCCTCTCTCACATTCTATCACTCATTCTATTTCTCACTCTATGTATCACTCTCTCTATATCACACTCTGTCACTCATTCTATCTCTAACTCTGTGTCGCTCTCACACTCTATCACTCATTCTACCTCTCACTCTCTGTATCACTCTTTCTATCACATTCACCCATTCTGTCTCACACTCTCTGTCTTCCTCTCACTTCCTCTCTCTGTATCACTCTCTGTTTCATTCTCTATCACACTCTTTCACTCATTCTATCTCTCACTATCTCTATCACTCTATCACATTGTCACTCATTCTGTCTCTCACTCTCTGTATCTCTCTCTCACACTCTATCACTCATTCTGTCTCACTTTCTGTACCACTCTCTCTACCACACTCTATCACTCATTCTCTATCACTCTTTGTCTTCTCACGTTCTCTCTCTGTATCACTCTTTCTATCGCATTCTATCACTCACTCTGTCTCACACTCTGTCTTCCTTTCACTTTCTTTCTCTGTATCACTCTCTGTTTCATTCTCTATCATACTGTCACCCATTCTCTGTCACTCTCTGTATCTCTTCCTATATCACTGTATTTCTCTCTGGATCACTCTCTGTGCATCTCTCTGTGTCACTCTCTATTCGTCTTACTCCTTCTATATCACCCTTTTTGTATATCTTTCTCTGTATCACTCTCTTTTTCTATCTCTATCTGTATCAGTCCCTTTCTCTGGTCACTCTCTCTCTCTGGATCACTCTCTGTATCACTCTCTCTTTGTTTCTCTATCTGTATCACTTTCTTTTTCTGGTCACTCTCACTCTTTTTGTATCACTCCCTCTTTGTATCACAATCTGTATCACTCTCATTCTCTGAATCACTCTCTCCCTCTCTGTATCTCTATCTGTGTCACTCTGTGTCTGTATCACCCTCTTTCTGTATAACTCTTTGTATCACTTTCTCTGTATCTCTCTCCCATTCCTCTCTCTTTTCTCTCCTTTTTCTCGTCCTCTCGTTGTGTCTCTGCCTCTCTATTTTGTTCTCTCTCTCTCTCTCTCTCTCTCTCTCTCTCTCTCTCTCTCTCTCTCTGTCTGTCTCTCTCTCGTGTTTTTGTCTCTCTGTGTTTAAATATTTAGTTAATATGGAGATTTGCTCCTCAACAGGAATATAATGGATGTTTATGGGCAGTCAGTGTTGGTAATGTTAAAGAGTGTAATGTACCATGTATCTTCTAAATGGCTCATGAGACTCTCACAGCATTTAAACATCTCTGTTCTTTAAAGCCGTTCCACTTACTTTTAAATGGTTTATATGCTGGTGGAAACTGATGAGTTGCGTGTAACAGAGCTGGTGGTCCTCCGTCTGCTTTGGTTTGTAGTTTTTGTTTTTTTTTTTTCTTTCTTTTTCTTTCCTGGCGTTTCTAAGATACTGAGCAGAGCTCACTCCATGCACGCAACGCCGGAGGGTTATAGTGAGCGTATTAGGAGTGTATGTGAGGGAACCTTTGTGCTAGTGTGGACTAATTTGTATGTATGAGTGTGCGAGGGTGTTTACTGTACAGTTATGTTTTTATTGGATGCATGCGTGTGTGTCTTGGTTCTGCGTGTGTGTGTTCAGTTTTATGTAGGGGTGTGTTGAAGAATGCCTGTTTGAGTAATCTTGCTCCACAAGCATATTTGTGTTGAATTTGGACGTTCTATTTCACATTTGACTCGTGAACATAGAAATAACACAACATTTTTCATGCTAAAACCATTTTTTTTAATCTCTTGCAGGAACCTCAGCAACAACCGAATCCGTATTCTGAAAAATGGCTCCTTCGCCGGCTTGTACTCCCTGGATAAACTGTAAGTAATTATGGTCATTTTCATCTTCATCGCCATCCTCATCCTCATGGCCATCAGAGAGCTTTACACAACCTTTCTATGGCAGTCCTTTGATCTGTCCTTTCTTTCCCATGGATCTTAGCCATGAGCTGAAGCTCGTAACACGCACGGGCCGGCCTTGGGGTGGACAAATAGCCAGGACTATTTCACATGATGCTGGGAAAAAGCATTAGGACCCATCGCTGAACTATACGTGATCTCTTCTAGCACAAGATGTACCTTCCCTCAAGAAGGTTACTTGTTCTCAAAGGGAACACTGTGACATCTGTATAATCAGCAGCTACCCTCTAATTAGGAGTTTATTAGGAACAAAATGTTAAGATCAGAATGTAGCGCCAGAAGTTTACTGACCTCCAAAGCCATTGATCCAGGCCCACAACGAGGTTTAGGCTTTGGATATTTGAAACAAAGCCGAGAGTAATTTGTTGGGTGAACAGCAGATTCTTTACAACTTGTTTTAGTTTCAATTTTTATTATTTTTTTAAACATTTTTTTGTTTTTTTGAGGCAGTGATCTTACAGATCGGGACTAAGACCAGCTACATCATATCTCCAGGCTATTTGTATAAACAGGGGTGAATCTATGGGGTGGCAAGAGGTTTCAGCTGCCATCCCAGTTCCACAACCTCTAAAATATGATGCAATATTGTATTATGTATAATGTGTCTATACTCAAGAAACTCTTAAAATGGACAAGAACATGACAAGAAAAAAAGTGTGTCACTTAACCATGTAAACAAATGTATAAAATGGATACTGATAACTAAATTGGAGGACTATTCTTATGTAAGCATAAACTACAGTTAAATTGCTGTGCAGATTTTGGCTAGCCATAAACTATTTTCAACATGTAATACAGCCCATTCATATAGCCGTTTACTTCTGCTTCATTACATTTGAAAAATAGATTATTAATACATTTGGAAAAGGTTTATCATGTTTGTTCAGTGGTTAGAAGGTTTATATAAATCTGTATTAAACAGATCTGTATTCTTGAGAACACAGCTCTACTGCTTCACAGCCCAGTGCTGGGGAGATTTATACCTCTCGAGCCAATGCTTGGCATTGGGTATGGGGAGCTTAGGCTACGTTCACACAGTAGGTAAAAGTGGCCCAAATCCAATTTTCTCACCAAATTTTTTCGTTTGGCTGTTCACAAAATCTTTTAAATGTGACCTGTATGCAACATCAGTCTGAACAGCTCACGCTCCTAAAACGCTCTTCTGCATGCGCAAAAGAACAACGTGTCACGTTGTTTCACTTGGCTCATCCAGAGGTAAACAATCATAGCTGCCAAAGAACGCCAGTCGCCCTCGGAGCTTCAGTTTCATCTTTGCCAGCGTCACAGGAGCGATCATGAAGCTTCACTGACTGACAGCTGGGCTCATCACCCAGAATGTGTTTGTGCTTGCTGTAAAAAGGGCTTGGTCACTTCTTCGGTTTGTGTCCTCAGATTCTTCAAACTTTGCTTTCAGACTTTTAACTTTCCTTTGACGCTGCAGCCTCGTTCTCTTACAACCGCGTTCGGCCATTTCTTTCAAAATCTCTTTGAACACAAAGCGTTTGCGAACGAAGCAGAACTCTTCTAATTTTTTGTACTGAAACATCAGCCTAAATGTTTATGAGGTATCAGCAGCACGAAATTATGACGAATGTCGAGTTGGATTGACGTAAAAGTTGCATGAATTCCGATCTGGCTGTTCAGACTGAGTCGCATTGCCGCAGATTGGATTTCAGCACCACATATGAAAGCGTCTCAAATCGGAATTAAAAATCGATTCGGTGCGTTTTTTGCTGTTCACACTGACACACAGATCACACATCTGTGTCACATATGAAGAAAAAGATTGAATTTGGGCAGCTTTTACCTGCTGTGTGAACAAAGCTTTAGGCTCATGTGCAGCTCCTTCAGAGCATCCCATTCTATTGGTTGGTGTTTTTCTATGGAGATTATACAAGCTGTACGTGCACAATTGAACACCTGTGTCAGCAGTGAATAGCTGAATCCACTAATTAGAAAGGGCGTTTGGGTACTATTGGATATTCAGTGTATTTCTAAAACCCTGTCCACTGTTGTGTCTGCACTTTTGTATTGTTTTCTGAAAAAACAATAGAGAATAGCCAGTCCAACTCTTACAGTCCAACAATGCACCGCAAAAGACAGTACAGTTGTAGGACCTTGTGGATAACAACTGCAGCCGCCTTGACGTCAAACAATCCTGAACAACTGTCACAGTAAAACCTACGAAGATGAAAATCCAGTTCTCTTCCAGGTTTATAAAAATTCATTAAAACGTTATTGAAGTATTGAATACGTAGTTCAGTTGGGGGACCCCCAAAACAGGTGGAAATTTCATGTCTACTGTAAAAAAGGATTACATGAGTAACAATCAGTGATCAGACCAGCCAGCCACATTCTCTCTTTCTGCTTTTGCCCCATTGGTGTAGAGAATCTGTCTGGCCAGACTGTTCCTCTGTCTCTCTCAGGCCGCGTTCCAGCAGGGAGGATGAGACAGTACGTGTGGCTATCGCTGAGTTCTAGCGAAGAGATCCTTAATTACCCCTTCATCTATCACAATCTGAAAAAGCTTCTCCGCCCGGAGAGATAAGGAGGGAGGGAGGAGAGGCGAGACTGCTAGGGAGGCAGGCAGGGGGAGAAGCAGGATTTTGTCCTAAGTTGACGAAAGGCTGGTGGCGTGAGGATAGATAGTGGGTATCTTCTTATTAGTAGACTTCACTGGGGTGTGAGGGCAGATTGTCTCAGGGTTGGAGCTTTGCTTAAACCTCTCTTTCCTCATACCTTAAATTTAGATGTCCTAATGCTGAGCCAAGTCAATTGCTTTCACTTTACAGGGTTGAAGCGTCACAAAAAATTGTTTAACCTAAATGTGAGGTGATCATATATAAACGTATGATCTTCTCCAATCAAAAACAGATGGCATTCAAAAGTGCAACTGTAACGAAGCATGTATTGTTGTATTTGTGGTCAGCGTGTCAGCAGTGGTTAACTTGATTAAATAAGGTCAACCTGCATTCACTTACTAGCGTACAATCATGTGAAGCGTGCAGTGGTGGAAAAAGTACTGAAAATTCTTACTTAAGTATGAGGACTGTTACTGTAGTGATCATTTGCGGGAGCAGAAGTAAAATTATTAATGACGGATATTATTCAAATAAGGAAAAACAACTCAAGCAGTTACTTTGTTGTATATCTGCGATCACAATCTGAAAATAGTTCTCAGTTGATTTGGCTACGTCATTGGAAAAACCTGTACAAAGAAAACTAAAGCAAAACACAGTACAGTCCTGTGCAGAAGTGGTCAGTTGACATCCTCTACAAAGAACCCACTTCTGCACATTTTAATGCACAGTTTCTTTTTTTTTTTTTGTTGAGTTTAACATTTTGAAAAAATTTAAATATAAACTGTAACGGTTGCACCGGCAAGTATGTTAAATTCAGCAAATAAACACTAATTGTTTATTAAAATGTGCAAAAGTGTGTTATCTGTAGAGGATGTGTTGTTTACTTAGAAAACCAGGAGAATAGTTCACTTGACCAGGGGTGGCCAAAATTTTGCCTATCACTGTATTACAAAATGGCAAATTTTGAGTCCTGAGACTGATCACGGTATGCTCTGCTACTGCACACTCTTTGTTCACACCAGCAGCAGTGCAGTGCGCCAAGAAGGCCAAAGGTCATTTATTTTCAATGAGAGATGGCAATTCTGGCAACGGGAGGTGGCGTGAACGTTTGCGTTGTGAAGTGGGTGGTGAAAGCAACGCAACAGAGTTGAGCAGAGTTTAGCTTTATGCAAATGAGGAGCAAAGTGATGCGGTGGTTACCAATAGGAAGTGAGCATTGAGCAATATTAATAATGAATAGATATTGTAGTTATTCTTAAGCAACAAAGTGGAGCTGAATTGTGAAATGCAAAGATTTCAACAGGAGACAGAAGATAATAATGCTGTGTTCTGTAGTTCTTTTGAAAATGCACGAAGATGACAAACTAAGCAAAGTGTCTTCATCATACATGCTGGTCACATTTGCCTCTCTCTGTCTCCTCTAAACGTGATGTATCTGAGCACGTCCTGACCTGTAGCGTTTTTGGAGCTATGAAAAACGGAATCTTTTCAGTTTAAAGGTAGAATAAGTGATTTATTTTAGAAATAGTTTTGTTGTATTTCTTTTAAGTACTCTTTAGATCTTGATAGCAATCAATAAATCAAATGCTCTGACAATAAAAATAAAAATAAATCACTATTTGTGGAGGCCACAGAACTGTAAAAAGCTGAATGAAATTATGTACTCATTTGCGCGTTATGTGGAGTCTGTCATGCAGCTTTACACACACACACACACACACATAGCTGAGAGGTAGTGAGCTACATTCACAAGAATGACAGAGAAAGTTACACAGGTACCTACGGCAGCTTGCTAAAGAAAGACAGAAAAGAAAGACAGAAGTAGAAAAGGCTTTGAACAAAAAGAGGTTGGATTAAGCACAAGGTCAAACCAGAGTGAACATCAGTGTGGCTTTCCAACGGTAGTGAAACCTGAGGTAGTTGAAAGGCCTGGAAAGCAACACCAAGGTTATTATTTCTCTGTTGACAGGTTTTATTATCTGGTTTGTTTTGTTTTGGGGGAATTAGTTTTTTTCCTGAATTGCTTACGTAGCCACATTATGTATTAGTCCAACGCTAGTGTTAGCTAAGCTGTAGGTGTAAGCTAGCTGGCTATGTTTATATTTTATGTAATCTGTATGTGTAAATGTTCGTAGGCCATGCACGTTCATGTGTTTTGGGGAAGTGGCTTTGGAAGAAAGGTCGAAAGTTGGGAGCGTGTTGGATTTTTTTTTAAAAAACTGGCTTAGACTTCATGGCTTCTGAAAAGTCTCCTACTCCAGCTTCAACCAGACTTTCTTCTAAATGGTTAACAAGCTGAAACATGCATTTGTTTTCACT